AGAAGTAAGATCATTCCATGACTTCTTATTAATATGAAATAATAAGAGTTGGTTAGAATTCTTCAACCAATCCGGCCCAATTTTGTAGATCGGCAATATGAAGGATAACAAACTGCCCTGGCCCCTGGCACACCCATAGCATACCTTAAACTCTTCAGATAATTATACCTTAATAATTAGAACCTTAACAGTTGAAATAACACAAAAAGTCTCTAGCACAACTATAAAATGCCATAACCTGAAATATATAAAATGCCTATGTAAAATAGGAATTTAAAGATAAAATAACATAAAGTGACCCGTTGTGCTAATTTTACTACTATTGGCTAGCATGTGTAAGTCAAAAAAAAAAAACGACTGAAGTGTGAAATTAAGAGTGCAAAAAGTATCATTTTGGTGACCAAGTCATAGCAAATGGATACTTGATCCTGTTGAACCAAGTCGTAGTAAATGGATTAGGTTCTTCATCATATTCACACCAGACCATCCTCGACTTTGGTTTTGGTTCTTTCTTGAGATGAGGAAGGTAATGATGCTGACAGTAAGTTCCATTAGCCTCAAAAACATTCAAGAGCTTGAAGAATAACCGAGTCATATCTTCACTTTGATCCATGTGAGCCTTAAAATTCATAAGAATTGCATGAGCCTTGTTCCGAAAGTGTCCCGCCACCAAATCTCTGAAGTTCCGGGGCGGCCTTGCAAGTGTTTGAATCATGGCCTCGCATCCCAGCATCAAACTACGCCTATCATCACCAGGTTTTGCCATATTGAAAAACCAACGTCGAATCGAAACCAGTAGTTGTAGAATATTAGATATTTTGGGATCCCAGTTTTGTCGTGGGCGAAACTCGTAGCCTCTCCCGAGGCGACTAGGAATGAGGTCGAATCCATCCCCAATGGTGGTGCTGGGCGAGTAGGAGTTGAAATTGAGATCAAAGGCGTAAGAATGGTAGAAGAGGTTGGGAGGAGAAGCAGGATAGCTACTCGGAAAGAATATGTCGAAGAAGAACAGACCCTGATAGTAAGGGGTTCCTGGGGGACCTATAATCACTGCTTGCATCCCATCAATCCTGCCGTCGTAGGCTCGAACATAAATCCAATCCGGGAGGTTGGTGTTCAACATAAGCCAGTCTTCCATGATTTTTTTCTCCAGGAGCTCTCCCTGCTTCTCACCAAAATTTTTAATTCCGGTTGCCACAAAGTGATGATCAGCGGGAGGATGCCGAACTGTATCAAAGTGTCTGAACAGTCTGTATCTTTTTTCCACTTCATCAATAATTTCTTCAATCTCGCCGCCGCCGACTATCTTCTTCTTTGTTGCTTCAATTCCATTATTGGCCATGAGTAGTTGTTTTGTTCTGTTCGTGCATTAAAAGGAAATAATATTTAAAACTTACATTGGTTGCCGCTACCAATTAAACTTGAGTAATTCTATTTTATTACCATCCTTCCTTAGACTCCGATTCTACGATCAACTACTTATCCCTGTATATTGATGCACTCATCTATGTGTTGTATGGATAAATTATTACATGGTCTTGGACAATTAATACTTGGTGGATCAGCTAAATACAGATTCTCGAATTGAGAAAATAACCCCACAAGAGTATATTAATAAATTACAAAGTTTCATAATCGAAATGTTTTCATTGAGAGTTTTCATTGAATTAGTCCGTCAAGTGTCAAATAGACCAGTATATCTGTTTATGTTTATGAGAGTATTTTTCATATCATATAACCCTAATTTTTCATATTATTTTTAAACACAACCAAACTAATTCAGTGGTCTGAAAAATAAACGCACGCAAGCACATCTCATAGTTTGAGAAAGCAAAAACGAAACACAAAACTTTAAACGCTAAAATAAACCACAAGGCGTATATAAAAAAAAAAAGAAAAAAGAAAAAAGAAAGTAAAGTATTACCTCGCTACTAATTGAGAACAGTTGACACAACAGAGGAGTCTCCAGAGCGAAAGAAAAAATAATGCAGGTGGAGAGAAGAAAGAGAATAAATAGAATTAGAAACCAGATGGACTTTGGTTAATCAAAAGAAAAAAGGAAAACTATACTTGGCGTTTATAAAAGTTTTTACTGTTATATACGTCCACTTTTTTTTTTTTTTTTTAATTTTTAATTTTATTTTTAGAAAGATAATATAATTAGAATTAGAAAGAAAATAGAATTTTTTTTTTTCCTATATAAAGATGGTGTACTTGGTGTTTATAAAAGCTATATATGAGTTGAGGAAACATAATGTTTGTATATATTTACTAATATATATATATATATATATATATATATATATTAAAAGGAACATAAGAGTTAGAAATAAAATAGAAATAGAAAAAAGTTAAAGAAAAGAATAGAATTAGCATTAAAAAAATAAGAATTATAATATATCATAAAAATAAAAAATTGATGATAAACGACTTGTACTTTTAATATTGGCAGTACCATGTCAGATAACATGGTACCTTGGAATATCAATAATTTCTCCTGTCAGTTGCGGGAAAACAGTTATCATATTGTAATCAAAGGTGTGATTATATGTGTTTCTACGTTGATTTTCTTGTTCTTCTCTCTTTATTTTCTTGTTATTCTTTTCCACAAGTGGGAACAACAAAGTTCAACCGAAGTACCACACAGAAAAAATTTATGCCGAACTTGGCCTTACTATCCAAAACACTCCTTTTAAAATAAATTAATAATACTCCCCTTAAAATGAATTAATAATACTCATCTGTTCCAAAAAATCAAAACACTCCTTTTAAAATAAATTAATAATACTCCCTTTAAAATGAAGTAATAATACTCATCTGTTTCAAAAAATTTAGATTTTTTGGAAATTCAACTTTTATAATAGTGAATTTTTAATTTTTTTTAATTATTTTCATAAAAATGAAATTTCAAATTTATTCTTTTTAAAAGATAAATGTGTACATTTATTTAATAAGTTAATGTTAAAAGAGTAATTTAAAAATATTGTAAAAGACAGTATACCAATTTTTGGAATGAGACATGTTTTCTAGGATATTCCAAAATAAAAAATTATGGTCAAATTTTTTGAAACAAAGTTAATAATAAATAAAAAGGGTTAATTATAATTACACTCTCTGAAGTTTGTCATAATGATAGTTATATACAAGTTGGGTTTTTTTTTTAACAATGACACCCCTCAAGTTTAATAAAGTTAACAAAGGAACCTCAACTATCACCTGCCACCTCTGCCACTTAAAGAATTGACATTATTGCCCTTTTGACTTATCAATTAATCAATTTAAATAATAAAATTACCCTTCTAACTTTGTTAAAAAAAAAAAAAGAAACCAAAAAATTTCCTCCTCCTCAATACCGTCCATTACCACCACCTCAATTATCTAAATCAATCTATGTTGCAGTGAATGTCTCACCCACCATTACCACCACTTCACTATTCAAAATCCAAATCTTCAACATACACTCTCTCTCTCTCTCTCACACACACACACACATAGCACACATACCATAAGTTTCAAACACCAAACCTTCAATATATATATATATATATATATATATATATCTCTAAGGTCCTAGCATGACTTCGACAGTGGCCGCGGCGGAGGCAGAGGTGGCGTCAACACCACCACAATGATCCAAATTAAGAAGAATGTGGTCATCGTAGGAATGGGCCTCGTCTCCCTCTTCGGCAGCGACGACGCCCAATTTGATGCGTCCATATTCCCTACCCGATTCAGCGGCCATATTTAGGAAGGTGAGAGGTTCGAGAGAGTGGTGACGTATACTGATGACATACCCAAGGGCAAAAATGCCATTCAGGAGTTTTGATTATTTTTTAATTTAAATTAATAAAATATTGAAGGGCAATTTTGACTTTTCAAACCTTTAAGGGTTTGTTTGGATCTAATTTTTGATAGGGGTGTCATTGTTCAAAAATAGCTTAACTTGTATATGATTGTCATTATGATAAATCTCAAGAGATATCATTGTCAGTAACGTATAAAATAACAAGGTGAAAAAGTTAACTTATAAAAAAACAAGGTGAAAAGTTTAAAAGTTAACCATTTGTGCATAGTTGCAATTGGATCGGACTAATTTAGTCAATGCTGAGCTCACATTTAGTTGAGCTTGAACTCTCCTTTCAGTCGGCCTTCCAAACTATGAGGTTTTCATAGCTAATGTAGATGAAGATCTCGAGGCAAATAAGTTCTTACCAAGCCAAAACCAGCGACTTCACTCGCAATCTACCATATCGGAAAAAAATGGCGTACATGCTTACAAACCACACAGCGAGCTTATGCATCTTTGGACTAGCTTGTATGCCGAAAGGGCTTCCAAATTATAGGTAGAAGCTGGAGGTTTTGAACCCGGAGCACCTCATTATCTTCAATTATCATTTTTGTGAAGCATATCTATTTTTCTAGTCTAATCATCCATCTATATTTTAAGCGCTTTTCTCAATTATCTTTGCTATATATAACTTCCTTTTTTTTTAATCATATAATAATGCATCTAAAACAAATTAGTAGTAAATGATATGCAGGAAGCTGAATAAACATTAAGGCGCGAATGAATAAGAGAAGTTCCAGGGGTGGAAAAAACAGGTCATTCCAGGACTTCTGTTAAGAACTGAATTATCACTTATGATTTGGACTAAAGCACACAATTCAGTTTTCAAAAAAAAATTGGAGACTTTGAACAATAAATTAACAAAAGTTGGTTTGAATTATTCAACCAAACTGTCCCAATTATGTAGATCCTAAGCAAATCTGCCCTCACACGCTCATAGCTCATACCATACTTAGGGCTCATATAATTGTACTTTTTTTCTACCTTTTTGCCTCTTAGAACATTCCCCTAGTCTAATCCTGAAATCTATAAAATGCCTTAGTAAAAAATAGGAGGAATTTAAAACAAATATCTAACAGAATGTGACCCATCCTGCTTAAAAAAAAAAAAACTAGTAGAGTGCAAAAAGGACGAACAAATGCAGAGGAATAGGTTAAAATCTGTACTTGGTCATGTTAAACCAAGTCATAGCAAATCGATTAGGTTCTTCATCATCATCATCTTCATACGAGACAGTCTTTGCTTTTGGTTGTTTCTTGAGATGAGCAAGGTAATGATGCTGACAGTAAGTTCCATTAGCCTCAAAAACATTCAAGAGCTTGAGGAATAACCGACTCATATCTTCAGTTTGATCCATGTGAGCCATAAAATTCACAAGAATTGCATGAGCCTTATTCCGAAAGTGTCCCGCCACAAAATCTTCGAAGTCCCAGGGCGGTTTTGCAAGTGTTTGAATCATGGCCTCGCATCCCAACATCATCAATGTACGCCTCCTCCTCGGTTCTACTAATCCATCATTATCATAATCACCACAAGGTTTTGCAATATTCAAAAACCAATCTCGAATTGAAACCAGTAGAAATAGAATATTAGATTTTGGGGGACCCCAGTTTTTTCGTGGCTGACATTCATAGCCTCTGCCTCCTCCGCCGCGAACAGGCATGAGGTGCAATCCATACCAAGAATCCACAAGGCTGCTGCTGGAGGAGACCTTCCTCGGCGAGTGGGAAGTGAAATCAAAGCCGTGAGAATGGTAAAAGAGCTTGGGAGGACGAGCAGGATAGGTTCTTGGGAAGAATATGTCGAAGAAGAACAAGCCCTGAGAGTAAGGGGTTCCTGGGGGACCTATAATCACTGCTCGCATCAGATTAATCCTGCTTTCGTAGGCTCGAACATAAATCCAATCCGGGAGATTTGTGTTCAACATATCCCATTCTTCTATGATTTTTTTCTCCGTAGCCGGCTGCTCACCATTCCTTCTAATTCCGGTTCCCACAAAGTGATGATCTGCGGGAGGATAGCTGACTCTCTCAAATTTTCTGAACCTCCTGTATCTTTTTTCCACTTCGTCAATAATTTCTTCAATCTCGCCGCCGGCGACTGTCTTCTTCGTTGCTACAAATCCATCGTTGTCCATGTCCGAGTAGTTGTTTTGTTGCTGTTCGCGGCTAAGAAGTTCGTTGTCACAACCAATTAAACTAGAATCTTATTTCGCAGTTGTAGTCTCACTATGACTCGGTTCTAAATGAAAGTATTTCAGTTGAATACCAAGTCTCCCATTCTATATGAATTCCAATTCTATTTAATTACCATCCTTCCTATCCTTGGACTCTATTTCTACAATTGTGGTTCTAGCCGCGTGTGATAGTTCGAGAAAAGCAAAAAACGAAACACTAAAACTTTAAACAATGATTGCTAAAAATTGATACAAGAACATATTTTTAGGACAATCAAACTAATTCAGAGGCTAGAAAAGAGTCTCACAGTTCTCTGAAAAATATTTTGTACGTTTTGTAAATATGGCTAAAAATAGAAGTTTTTATATGTTTTAACATTGTAATAACAATATTGTAGCGATGAGAAAATTAAATTATTATTTTTTTTTATGAAAAACTCTTAATTTTTTTTTTTTTTAAAATTAACTATTATATTTTTCAAACTTGAAATATTTTTTACCAAACATGTTTTGTAACAATAAATAAATGTGGTCAAACATGTTTTAAATTACTCTACAACAAAATATTTGCTTTGTTCAAGGTTAAAACAAAACCACAAAACAAATGAAGAAGAAGAAGAATGGAACCACAAGTATTACCTTGTTTGCTCCAATTGTATCACGTTTATCTTTTTCTTTTAATGAAAATGACAAGAAAAATCATTCAATTCATTAATGCAGTATCTTTTATTTTATAATATCATAACTATCTTCTATATAACTTTATTAGTATTTTTTTGAGTAATGATACTTGCACCGATTTGTTGCAGTGAATTATGTAACAAAATGTTTCTGATTGGTTATTTATGCACAATACATATAAGTGGAGGGCCCACTCTTTTATTTATCCCATTTGTTGTAGTTAATTATTAGACTGATTTATTTTAATTGATCCATTTATGCATAAATAAAGAAGTGAGACCTTCCACTTATATGTATTGTGTATAAATGACTAATCAGAAACATTTGGTTAGATAATTTGCAACAAATCGGTGCAAGTATCATTACTCATTTTTTTTATTTTTACCTTTTTTAGTTCCTTTAATATATATTTTTTTCCTTGTGCTATACTTTCTTTTCTTTTTCTTATCCAAAGTCTTCTCATAGAAGATAATTTATTGGATACTGATAATTTTATTTTTGCACTTAAATGAGATAATTTATTCAATAGTAACTTCTTCTTTTTTTGTGCAATCCAAACAAATAATTTATTCAACAAAGTTAACTTCTTTTATCAGTCTTGTCAAAAAAGGTAATTTTTTTTTTCTGGGTGATTTTTTATGGGTACCGTGAAAAGAAATAATTTATTCAATAAAAATAAATATATTTTTTGGGAATTATCAAAAGAGATATTTATTCAATAGAGATATATATTTTTTGAATCCTCTTTTTTCGTACTTTTTTTTTTTTTTTGACAAAAGAGATAATTTCTTCGATAAATATGTTTTTTGGGGTTTTTTTTTTAGTCAAAAGAGATAATTTTTTTTTATGGTTACTTTTTTGTTTTTTGGTCCGGTCAAAAAAAGCAATTTATTCAACATAATTTTTTTTTGGTCCTATAAAAAAAATATTATTCAACTTTTTTTTTTTTTTTTTTCCCTGTCAGGAGAGACTAAAATATTAAAGATTAGGTTATTTTAGAAAATCTGAAAGAATAATTGTGTCATTTAAAAAGTAATAATCATTTATTTAAAAAATTAAGGTTAGAATTGTCATTTCATTTAATATTGTAGTGCAATTGTAGAAAAGTGGAGTGAGAATATCGTCTCCATAGAATTAAGGATAAATTATACCGACCTCCCATATAGTTTGTATATTACCTTGTTTGCTAATTGAAAAAAGAGAATAAAATTAAGAATAAATTATACGAATCTCTTATATGGTTTACCATAATTACAGGGACTTCCTTATGGTCTTTTAAAAATTAAAATACCTACATGAACCTCCCTTTTGTGAAGTCAATGTCAATCAATAAAGGATTTTGTTGATGCGATGCTCTTAATTAATTAAAATACCCAAAATACTCTTATCCCTACCAATTTATGTTACCTTTTGTGAAAGTCAAGGTCAATCAATAAAGGATTTTGCTGATATCACGTTCTTAATTAATTAAAATACCTACTCTTATCCTTGCCATTTTATAACATAACCTTGCTTCACAATGTAAGAAATTAAGGATAAATTATACAGACCTCTCATATGGTTTGTGTATTACCTTGTTTGCTAATTGAAAAGAGAATAGAATTAAGGATAAATTATACGGACCTTTCATATGATTTGTCATAATTACAGGGAATTCCCTTATGGTCTTTTAAAAATTAAACTAACTTAGCCACCCTTTTGTGAAAGTCAATGAAGAAATTTTGCTGATGTCGTGTTCTTAATTAATTAAATTACCCAAAATACTCTTATCCCTGCCATTTTATAACATAACAGTTGCTTTACAATGTGAGGACATTTCAATTAATTAGACAGGTTCATTAGTGCATTTGACAGTAGTCACAAGTTCATGTAAATTAGTTTAGGTCCGAGTAATTTCCAAACCACAGAAGAAGCCCCTGTAATTATAACAAAAATCATAAGAGATATCCATTTAATTTAACCTAAAATTAAAATCCAAGGACTTCGTTAACCAAAGTTTTTCACCTTTTTTATGTTAGAGAGCAAGCTGTTATATATGTCAATTTTTTTTTTTTTGGGTATAAAGATCCAGCATGGTTAAATTGCATGACGTGGAGAGGTATGTGAGGGGAGGGAAATTAGGAGGGAAATTTAAAAAACAAAAAGTACTTTGTGTATTAAGAGTTTAAGAAAGATTAATTTTCTATATATTTATTGAAAAATAAACTAAAAAGAATTACCAAAACAATAATAATAATAATAATAATAATAGAATTTGAAAAAAGATCAATTATTTGGAATGAATTAGAAAGAGAATAGAATTAGAAAGAACAAAAAAAAGAAAAAAAAAAAGAAGTAAATATATATAAAGATAAGAATAGAATTAGCATTATAAAAATAAGAATTATAATATTATTTATTATTTAAAAAAATTATCAGAAATTCTTTGTACTAAAGTTGGAGAAATCACATCCTGATACAATTGCGGGAAAACAATTATCCATATTGCAACCAAATCACCCTCTCAAAGTAGTGATTCTAAGCGTTTCTACATTGATTTTCTTGTTCCTCTGTAAATTCGACTGAGCACAGTGCTCATCGCAAAACAAGTGAAGTGCCAGCGTATTAAGAAAAGTTCTTGAAACAAGAGGGGAGAGAGAGAGACAACGAGGTGATGTCTCATCATCATCTCCTTGCTAGACAGCTCTAACATTTTATTTCACACACAAATATGGACATATATTAACAACTGGCTCTTCCAGTTCCAGTACAAATTTATTGCATCATGCTGAAATTTCAACGGCCTCCTTTATCCAATTTACCGCATTGGCTTCGCCTTCAATGCCTCACATTTTCGAGATCGTGTAGTCCATCACACCCACAAGAAAATCTGCAATGATATAAGAAAAAATGACTCATCAATTGAGAAGAAAAAAAGATGACAGATGAAAAATAAGAAAGAGAAGATGACGAACCAGCATCTTCCTTAGTGAAGCATAAGGGCGGAGTAATTCTGAACACGTTCCCATGAAATCCACCTTTCCCTATCAGCACCCCCATTTCTAAAATCACGGCATTTACAACATTTTAGTTACTAATATTTAAGAAAATATGGTTCAAAAGATCGATAAGAGAGGAGGGAGATAGACCTTTCATCTGCTCCATAATATGCAGTGTTTCAACTTTAGCTGGAGTTTTCAACTGACGGTCAGTTACAAGTTCAACACCAAGCATCAAACCTCTTCCCCTCACATCCCCAATAACTGCAGAAACAAGACAAATTTATACCAGTCAAGCTGGATGAACAAGAATTAAAATTGAGTAGTGTTTTTATACATCATTGCATTTTTATTTTTATCCATAAAGAAAAAATTATGTTTGTATATCTGTATCGTTGTTCTTTGTACCCTGCATCACAAATATAAATTTTCAGATGGGTAATTCAGATTTATCCTAAAGAAGAAACCTACTTTCATGCTTTTCCTTGAGGGAAGTCAGGCGCTCTTTCAGATATGATCCCACAATGAATGCATTCTGTTGAAGATTTTCTCTCTCTATCACTCTTAGATTAGCAAGCCCACTGGCAGTGCAAACAGGATTCCCCCCAAAGGTATTAAAATAACTCCGATAAGTCAAGACCTTCGCAATCTCAGGAGTGGTAACCACCGCACCTATTGGAATGCCATTTCCAATGCCCTGAGAAACCGCAGAAAGGGAAAATCTCAAAATCAGAGAAGTGAAAGCACAGTTTCCCCAGCATTCCAAGTGGTTAAAATTGATCCAGTTCATAATAAAGTGAATCTCCTAAAGATTTACAGTGCTCTTATACATGTGGTTAGTCAGCGTTTAAATAATTTGATGATCCAAAATGAAAAAGAAAAAAGAAAATGAGTTTATTTTACTCTTGTCAAAATGGATTTTGACTATATATATAATGTATTTTTGGTAAGAAAATTTCCTAAAATTCAATGATAGGTTACCCCAACTCTGCATGTAACAGGATCAGATGTCAAATAACTGGGAAGAAGTAGGTACATCAACTTAACAAGAAGTATATTTGGTATTCTACAGCCGATCACAAGCAAGCTCCCCTGAAAGTTGTCTATTCTCTTCTCTAGTTATTTCTTGTTTTTCCTCTAGTAATTTTCTCTGATTATTTCTCGCTCTCACAACATCATGTGGCTCATAAAAGATGGAACTTACCCATTCATACCTGCTTGGTACATCAACAAAGAAGAAGATGTCCACGTACCCTCACAGATGGAACTTACCCATTCATACCTGCTTGGTACATCGACAAAGAAGATGTCCACGTACCCTCAGAAATTCAGTAGAGAGAGAGAGAGAAAGAGAGAGAGAATAAACCTTCGCCATAGTCACAATATCAGGCACGACACCATGTGCCTCAAAACCCCAAAAATGGCTCCCTGTGCGAGCAAAACCTGATTGGACCTCATCAGCTATACAAAGGCCGCCTGCACTTCTGATGGTGCTATATACAGCAGGCAAGTATCCTGGGGCCAGCTCTAAAATTCCACCCACTCCCTGTCAAGCATTAGGCTTCTACTTAGAAGAGACGAAGGAAAGAAGAAAAAAAAAAATTTTTTGACTTGATTTGAATCCAAAGGATTTAACAAATGTATAAATAGATATTACATATATGAGTACACTGTATATATGTGATTAAAAAGGTCACCTGTATGGCTTCCGCTATAAAGCCAGCAACACGGCCACAAGTTCCATAGGCAATGAGCTCCTCGACATCTTTTGCGTATTTTAGTCCATCTGAACCAAAGACACCTCTGTACTGGTCTGGGTTCAATGCATGGTGAACTCCAGTCTGTTGAGGGTTGACATGAGAAGATGAAGAGTATTAGTATTTATAGTTTATTTGATAGATATGTTTCTTGTTTATGGAAGTTCATCTTAGCCAGCAAAACAATTAAATTATAGAACTCAAATTTAAGGGCAACAAAGCTTGGTTTACAGAATTTTAGTAGTAAGGGGTAACTGGGTAAAAAATTCTGGAAAATTATTTAAAAGTACCCTGATTAAATAAAGAACACTGTTACAGACCTTATTCCCAAGTTTAGAAATTGTCGTCAAAAGTAAAAATCGTAATTCAAAAACTGAGAAGATGTTAACCCTTAAACCAAGCTTTTAAATGGAAAAATCAAATTGATGTATTGAAAAATTAATGTCAGGAAATGAAAGAAACTTTAAGCACAATTTGTTATCATTCCATCAGTCCCTGTATTGCTTCTAAAAACAGAAGGGCACAAGTAAAATGAAGCTAGGGAACAATAAGCACTAAAAGGAAGGTGCTGTTTGATAAATCTAAAAATCAAGTACTGACAATTTTAAAATTTGAATTTTAAGTGCTGAAATTTCAAGTCCTAATTATATATTATGAATATATTACATAAAGCTAAGTTTTGTGATAAGTTAAAACTCTCATTTAAAATTTTGCCCATTTTAAGTGTGATCAAATTACATTATCAAAAAGACATAATTTATTTAGAATGAAGTTTTGAATTGAGTTATCAAACATCACCTAAATTTAAAAATAAAAAAAATCAAAAGAAGCCAAAAGAATTTTCTTTCTAGTTCAAGCAAAAAAGATTAATGGTATCAGCCAAAGCAAACTCTAAATTGAAAATTTTGCTTTTGTTCGTATCATTGCCATCATCATCTCCAAGCAACATTATCATTACTACCAAAAGGAACCCCACAAAAAGTTTTCTTCCTCTTGATTTTATTTTTGATTTTTGACTTCCATTTTTAAGAACATTAATTCCTTAGCTAAACAAAATTTTCCTTTGGCAAGAACCAACCAAATGGTTCCCTAGTTGAGTAGAAGGCAGAAATGTGGAATATACTGCACTACAATCACTAGACTGCTCTCACTAGATATTATCAACATTTGAATTAAGCATATTCTATATCATTGTCCGATAAAGTAAGTAGATAAAAAACACACACAAAGAAGGGCTTAGAAGAGGAAAAGGAGGCCTATCACTGAGGCAGAAAACAGAGGACCAAATTCCAAATTAATCAACTTCCAATATGAGCTAAACTCACTAAGATTGAGCACATCCGATCATTAATTTTTCAACAAAATATAATGGTTATCGTGATAGGTCGACATGCTAGTCTATATGTCGACATCCAAAAGCTCCAAACAAGATCACTTCATACATTAAACAACAACATCAAATGAACAAGTTGAAACATATGCGAATGAGGGCTGAATTCTAGTGGACAAAAATATGAACATGCACTATCTATTTTTTACATGTCACCATTGAGTTCTGTAAATTAGCCAAGTTGTTATGGGATTGATATTGAACCTGAACAATCTTTGATGATTATTCAAACTGGACAACCTAGCGCTAAACCACACAATCCTCATGTCAAGGCCTTGTTAAACACTAATGTACAAGGAAGCATAACTAGCCATACTGAAAAAACATACCTGTACAACACTGAACTTGAAGTTGCATTGAGCAGTAGAACCCATTGTCGCTGACGCATTTCCATGATAACCATTTCTAAGAGAAACAATATCATGGCAGCCAGAATACAATCGAGCAATCATTAAAGCCAGCTCATTCGCTTCCGTCCCAGAATTAGTAAAGAACACAACCTACAATCAAATTTCAATACATCAACAAAATTAAATTGAAAAAACAGCATAAAAGAATTCAATGGTGACCAGAAATCGAGCAAGACACCTTGAGATCACCAGGCAACTTGGATGCCAGAGCCTCTGCAAAGTCCGCAATGGCAGCATTCAAATACAGAACAGTCGAATGCTGCAGCCGCTTTGTTTGATTAACAATTGCCTCCACCACATCTGGGTGACTGTGCCCACAACATACAGTGGCAATCCCTCCGAATGCATCGAGGTAACGCCGACCGCTCTCGTCAAACAAGTACTGCATCTTTCCATCTACCAAGTTCAACTGTCATACATAACCACATCAAAGACTACGGTTCAGGACTTCCCAAAAAAAAAAAAAAATGTTTGTGGTAAATGGTAATGTGTCAAAAATACGTATACATGCATGCATACATATATAAATTGAATATTACTCCTTGAAGTTCTATTTTTTAAAGATCTCTCCAACATTGAAGGAAAAAGAACCCCTAAACGCAAATAAAGCCAATGAGTCAACTAGTCATTAGGGCATGCAAGATGACATATATACCCTTGTACAATAATAATAATAATTAATAATTAATAAAACCCTAAATGACATTTTATCCCGGAAGTTTGGAGTTCAAGGAGGTTATCAGCCAAAAAAATAAAAGACCAGGGATTTCTACAACTTGTATATATAATTGTGCAGTGCAAAATTAAAAGATCATGTAAGGTTTCCTCTCCAGTAAATCTAACTCATGTCCATGAAAAGAACAATAAAAATTTAAAACCAGTGGAACAATAAAAATTTAAAACCAGATAAATGAAAGTTTATGTTTGTGTTTACAAAGATTCTACCCCATTGAACTGTATATAGATATAAAATTGGTTCTGTTCACAAACATACATAACCATATCAAAGAACAATAGTCCAGTAAAACAACAATAAAATCAGTATTAGAAAAGACAAACCCTTGAAACACATACATACAACAAATATAAGTGTAAACTATATGAAATATCATAAATATATTCCTATCAAGTAAATTGTAGGTAATTCTAATATACACACATGCGGTCGCACACACACATACAGATATATACATTTATATACAGATTCATTCCTAATGAACAGATTGAAGGAAAGTGGCGTCTGATCTTGCCACGTCACTGTGTTCATGGAAGGGTGACGTGGCGAGATCAGAAGACGTGTGATGTTGTGAAGGCTTACAGGCTGGTTGTAGAAGTGAATCATGGAAGGACTGAGGTACTGTTGGCGCTTCTTCAAGATCTCGGAGGCAGAGGGTCCGGTGTAGGGAGGCGGAGTGTAGTCGAAGGAGGGCATTTTGGGAAGAACGGCGTCATTTTCTTGGAGAGCCGTGGCGGAATGGGCTAGGTTGGAGAGGCATCGACGCCTCACCAGAGAATCTGTTTCCAATACTGCCCTCGAGAATATCCTCTGCATCTCGACTAAAATGACACCAACACAATACACTCTCTCCCTCTTCCTTTCCCTAGTCTTTTGATTTGGCGGTGGAGAGAAAAAGTGTATAGGTGGGGAAGGGAGAGTGAAAGGGAGACTTTATAAAAAAATATCGGAAGAGAGAGGGACGGAGATTCGGTCACGTGTTTTGGCTGTCTGAGTTGGCTTGCGTTTCTTGTTTTGCCTGCCTGTATTTATATATATTTTTTGCCCTTTTCGCTCTGTATTAAACTCAGTGTTAAAATTATTTGTCTCAACAGTAAAGCAACACGTGCATCATGTGGTTAGGTCGAATGAGTCGGGCATGACAGCGGCACTGATCAACAACTAGAAATTTTAAATCATAAGGCGAGTGTGTTCCACTCATTACAAATGACTTCGGCTTGTTAAAAGTAGTATCAGAGCTGATCCAGGTCTTCATCAAGTTTGAAATCACCTAAAATGGAATAGGAGCAAGAGCTCATGCCGTGCGTGAGAGGTGAAATTCATGATGGAGGAGGTAGGGTGAATCCAATAACTTATCATGATGTCCTCCCAGTGTTAAGATAGACGAGTAGGCAGGTGGTCGAATAGCAATAGACATATTGAGTTTGAAAGTTTGGACACAAACGAATGTTTGAAAATAATTGTTACGCCTAACCCGTTATAACTATTCAATGGAAACTCGAATGAATTTCTAAATGTAATTTTTTTTTTTTATCCTTGGTCTCTCGTACATATTATTATGACTGTCTTCATTTTTGTCAATCTTCTTTATTGGACCTTCCAAATTACTACTTCTCCCGCGAATGTCAAGGTTCTGAGTCACACAGTAAGGGCATGTGAATAGAGACTGATCCATCAGGGGAAAGAAAAAAAAAAAAAAAAACCCTGCTATTAAACCCTACAGAACAGGCTCTCTGATCAGCTGCTATGAAGGCTTTAATACGTTTAACGTATGTAATGCGTTGCCCCAGTATAGTCCTTTCATGATTTGGTCCATTCCTGCCAGACATCAATAAAATGGAAAAAGAAATCAAAATATCGGAACGAACTTCGTTGACAAAACAATTATTAAAATCGCAATTAAGCCAAACCACTGATGAAATTTGATGTTTTGGAACCATACATTTTAAATGGTTATTCTTAGTTGGAATTGCTTGATTCCACCCACTGTTACAGAAAGTCTTGGTACCTAGCTTCTTACCCTTTCCACATCAGTGCTGGATATATTATATACAGAGATATATATATATAGAGAGAGAGAGAGAGAGGAATGAGCACCTATGAACTAAGATATGGAAAGCCTTCCAAGGGGAATTTTTTACAGAGAGTTAGCATTCACATTCAATAGTTAGTTGCTCAACATTACCTTAAGTCATCAAAATATAAAGTCCAGGAACAATTTTCACTATCAAAAGCTAGCGATAGGACCATCTCCGGTCATCATCAACACCATTGTCATTATCATCATCATAGCCATAAACAACACAATCACCATCATCATCACCATAAATATCACCTTCATACAATGGGTCTCCATCTCCAGACCTGTCATGTTGAACCATATCTTCATGTTCTGAAGAATTACTACTGGCAGCATCAAGTTCTTCTGATTCATCATTTGAGGTTCTGCTCTCAACCTCCTCCTCATCTTCAGATGCCTCCTCATCCGGATAATCATTCAGCGGATTATCTTCAGCTGAAAAAACAAACAAATAAATAAAGGTGTGGTAAGATTATCTGGAATCAACGAAGAAGGCTGAATGGGAATAAAATGGATGATACCATTGGAATCATCACTTTCATATTCTGATTCATCGGGGCCATCATAGAAACCATCATCATCATCAACTTGTACCCTAAACCAGAAACATGTATCTAAGTATTACTATGAGAAAAGAAGAGTCACGGAACAAGTCACAAAAAAATACAGAAAGAGATCTTACAAAGGAAATGGGTTCACAGCATTTTCCTCAGTCATGTTGGCATCATCCTTCACAGCATACAAGTCATACACATAGTTATCCACGGATGCTGCATAACGCTTCCAAAAACCCATAAGAAAAGTGCACCATAACAAACAAGTATAGGCCATCTGAAAAATTATCCCAAGGATAAAGAATAACCTAATAGTAATGACAACCCTAAAATGACCATAATCTAATTCATCAGACCATTATGTCTCAAGAAAACCCAAAAAAAATACCCGTCCCAAATCTTCCTCAACCCCAAATTCTCATTGTTCAAGCTAGCACACGGAAGCCACCTTCATTAATTTAAATGAAGTAGCAAATTATTGACCCGGAAAAAGAAAGGCATAGCAGATTATCATAGCTCAGGGGAAACAAATAACTCCAAAAAGACCTTGTTTGGACATGTAAGAATGAATATCAGACTCGATCTCCGCAGCAGCACTAGGAATGAACTCCCTTAACAGAGGCAAATAACTAGCCATAATCTTGTGGTCCTCCAAATCTTCATCTCTGCATTTAAATAGAAGGAACATAATCATTTTCATCAAGGCAATGAACAACAAAAAGATTACAATACAAATTACATGAAAATGAAACTTACTCCTGCGCCTTAAGCTGATTGGTTGTTTCTTCAACATCAACACGGACAACATCGTAAAGGTGACACATTTCATGTAATGCTTCATCATGCAATGCTCCCCCTTTCCCCTTTCTGCTCCTCCATATTTGTTCAAAACGAGCATTTTTTGACAAAAGCTGATAGAAAGAACATGAAGCAGTTTACAGAGAAATGGTTTATGCATCGAAAGTGGGAACAATGATAAAGTAAATTGCATAACTTTGATACTTCCTCACTTCATAAACATTAAAAATACAATAAAGAAACAAAAGACTGTTCAGACTGTTTAACTGTAAATTAACAGAGATTTATTTTCACATACATTTTTGAAGGACAGTATTATCAATTCTATACAAGAATTAAAAATATGATATTAACGTACATACATAAATAAGAATATAAGATCCATAACAATCGAGTTTGAACATCAACAAGACAAGGAAGAACCAACAAACCACTACCCTAGTATTCTTGCAGGCACACGGCATTCACCACAGAGAATGATCCTTCACAATAGTAAGAGTGTCACTCATAGAATTAAGTTACAGCTGATAAAAAGGGCATCCGATATTTGATCAATGTAGGAATAAATCTGATGCCCATTAACTGAAAACAATGTCCAAGATTAGTTTATCTACATTCTGGGCAATACCATGAGATATGACAGTATCTATTGCCGGCTACACATTATTATGGCAAACCAATTCCTCAAGAAAGAGATACACTTGTTTAACATCTAACAGAGTATTATTTCACTAACCCTAAAATAGAATTCGCCTTCACTATTTACAGTTCTCAAAACTCTTTTGGACGATTGGTCCAGCACACTATAATTCAAACAATTCCCCAGTAAACCAAAATCCAACAATAATCGAAGTTAATTATGGCATTTTCCAATAACAATGTTGGAATGGGAATTATCCTAGGAACAGAAAGCGATTTAAAAACCTAGGCCTTTAGGTGTTTAATTCCCCGCATAAATGGCTCAATGGATCCAAGATTGACATTGATAATGAATGAACATGTATAAATATTGACCAGGAAGCTTACTGTGAAAAAGAGTAGGTGAACTGATTGAGCCTTTTTTTGGGAAGATTGATCCATCCATGTACACCTTGGTGTTGGGACTGATCAAGTTTGGGTGGACTGGGTACTCCAATAAGCACTGGACCAATCGAGGTGAAACTGTCCATTTTACTCTAGTATGTGCTGAACCAACCTAGCTTTTAATTGGACTGGTTCAGCTTCGATCATTGTCAGAAATTTTCATTATTTCCTATTTTGATTCAACTTTGTCGGCTTCCAAATTAGTCCTAAACTCTTAATATATATATATATATATGTATGTATATTGACTTAGGTTCATTTATAATCACAAAGGTAGAGAAAACAAGAGTGATTAACAGAAAGAGTTATAGTGATTAATGACTCATGAAAATCAGGGTGCAAATTGTTCACCTTGGAATTTCATGCTTACTGCATATAAAATAGGCATTCACAACAGCTTGATGATTTTGCAGACTTGCCTTCATTGAATGTTGCTCGTATTTGAGGGTTGAGATCAAAGGAGTTCAGATTGTTGTTCTGATATAGCGAATTGACGTTTTGGTACTTAGAGGATGCAAGGACATGGTTTGAAAGCAAAGATTCAAGAACTTGAGTCAGGTATCATTGTGAAATATCAAGGGTTCATTACTACTAATACTACCTTAATAGGGGACAAGGTCATGTAATTTTTACCTTACAGTTTTTCACATAAAAATCGTGTATGTCTTTGACTTGATTGTATGTTTGCTTTGGTTGCACGAACTTTTGATACTTGTTTCATCATGCATGCAATCAAATTTATTATTCAGTCTCAATTGTTGACAAATAAAACAAAGTGACCAATTCAATTCCAGGTCTTGTGAATCAAAGCTGCATTTTATCATTTTAAATTATTGCTGACAATTATTTATACATGAAGCAATATTTTTTGTGCATAAAAATTCTGGCAAAAAGCTTACAAAAGGAGTGATGGGTTGGTTGCTTTAACATAAGCCGTGTATAATGGAAGCAAATGTTACCAATTAAATCAATTCCAATTTGAATTAAACCAGCCAGGTCTAGGATGACTTAGCAGAGAACATTATGGGTCATCAACAAAAACAAATCAAACAAAGAACCAAACCAGTCCAGTTGTCGGTCACCAGTCCAACAGGATGATCCCAGCTGGTTCTGATAGCATTGGGCCAAGCATAACATTTAGACCTCAAGAAATTTATTTTTCTGCATCAAAATTTGCTAATTTAAATGAAGAATGAAACCACATATTTATGTGGGTGTACCAATGACCACGTCCAAGTTATGATCTCTTATCTAGTTAATAAGGTCTCTTATCCTATAGCTAATGTTCTCATTCATAGTTGTGAAAGGAAAAAAAAATAACTGAGACAGGTTAAAACTGAACGGTGAAGGAAACACATCCCATCATAGCAGAAAACAAACAAAGTTCTCTACGTGAAGATAAATCTAATAGATTATATTGCAGAATTTTAATGGGGAAAAAAATATGCAACTTAAAAAGGCCATGGAAAATCTGAAAAAAAAAAAAAAAAAAAAAAAAAAAAAACAACTTTATTGGCTCAGAAAAATAAAAAATAAATAAAATAAACAGCTTGCAAATGGATAGTAAAGAACCACACAATTATCAACTAAAGAAGAAGACACAGCCTGAAAAAGAAATGAATAAACAAAGGAGGGACCTAACATGTGTGCGCCTGTGTGTATGTACAAAAAATTACAATGTAAATGTAGGAAATAATTTACAATTTAGCAACTAATCAATGACACTAAAAGTTAACATAATGTACCTCTTGCTTCTGTTTCGCTTTAACCAGCAATTGATCTTGTTTGGGCTGGCATTAAATTGAAAATGCCATAAGTGTTAGTCACATCAAGTATTATAAAAGCTTCAACCATATTAGATGCAGAGAAGTAAGCATACATTGTCTCTCTTAAAAACCAATCAGAGCAGGCATGCCACAAACTCTAAATCATGGTAGAATAGTAGCTTTGCCGAGATTATACAGGCAGGATGTGAAGTATTTCTCTACATGCAAGAATAGATTTCTCCTAACAAGACTACAAGAGCATTATATATCAATAATATTGTAGAAGTTGAGCCCGCCATATTGGTGTGCTTGTAATTTTCCCTCCAAAATACCCTGACTTCCATTTCTCTCTCTTGCAAGTTCTTCACACAAATAATTTTTTGAGTGAATAATTGAATCTTAAACCTTCCTCTTAACTCCAGCTATACACTGATGTACCAACAGAATTTTCAGTAAATTTATTATTTTGGAAATAATCAAGAAAAAATATCAAATTTAAGTGTATCTTTTGTGTGTGTGTGTACATATAGCCATTCTGATACAATGCATCCCTATTGAAAATCTCCAATTAAATTATGCCTCACATGACTAGAATTTTGTTTGTGACTCCAACTCTAGTGAGACTAATCACAACCTCTTCGATACAGATCCAATGATGTAGCTTATATTATTAGTTTGTATTTAGTTTTAACTTATCAAAAAAAAGTTGTTTAGTTTTTAATTTAATTTAAATCAACTTGTTTCAAGTAATTAGTCACATGTTTGTTAATTTAAATTATTGCATATGATGTGGGGAGATGTCCACATCCACTTAAGGTCACATGCAGAGTGCGTGTCTACATAAGTTACATATCACTTAGACTTGATAGAAATTTGACATGCAAGCCTAGGCACATAAAGTGTTAGTCTTGGACAGTTTGTATATAACATGTAAAAGATCTTGAAGCGGAAGAATTCTAAACAACCCCACCCCCCCCCCCCCCCTCTCGGGCGTTCACATTCTTCTTCCTTTTTCCTCTATTCTTCACCCATCTCTTAATCTCTCCTCTAAGGTGGTTGATAAAGGTCAAAAGTAATGCGACACAGCTTGTTGCTCTTTCCTTGCTCATCAGGCCGGACAATAAGTTATCAAGTAATGCTTTTCAACTCACTTCCATCCTTTCCCCATACCTGTCTGCTGCACCATTACATCTTTTTCTATCTGGAGCTATGTTAAATTTTGACTTACTGATTGGCTTAGCTAAAAGCAACACAGGCATCAGTATCTAACCTGCTGTTTCCCCATTACTTCTAAATGCTTGTTTTCTCATTGCTTACAGATATTACCTTTAGTTTGGTTCCATTATCGTATAGTGTTTAAAGGACTGTTTTGGTATTGTCCGTGTTTGTGGTTTATTATATTTAGTTATTAATCTTGACAACATTTGCATTTTCTTTCTTTGTCTCTGTTTGGCATTTATGCAAGCTAATTGATTGGTTGGTTAAGTTTGCTGCACTTAGAATTCTCCATAATCTCTAGAGATTGACAGTAAATTGTTGTATCTTGAAGATCATAATGCAAATGTCATATGCAATATTCTAGTAAAGTATCAGAATATTTAAAAAGGAAGAGATAAAGAGAGGGAGAGAAAAGAAAAGATCCAATGGAATCGTCAAGAGAATCCAAACTAAACCAAGAACTGGTTCAAATATTAAATACTGTAAGTAGATAATCCCTATCATATGAAAATCCATTTTAAATCCCATTAATAGGATTCAAATCCAGGACGAACTGGCAGTCTGACGCAAATTTGAGTCAAGCTAACTCCTTTCAGTGACCCAATAAGAGATTTAGAGAAGGATCGGGGACTATTTTGCACAAACTTTCTTCAACAAATTTATCTATAGCATGATGTAGTACAATTACTACTACTAATATGTAATTTATGGAGTGAAAGAGAGGCAGAGATAGAAAGAGAGATCTTACGTTATCCATCTTAATAGGGCGTCTTCGTTCCTCATTTTTTGCTCTATGTGCAACTGCATCCTCTTCAACATTAGGCTGCTTGAGAAACAATAACTAATTAAAAAACATACCACCAGTCCTGGGAAGGATGAGACAGAAAGAGAATGCCCATACAAGTACACACAAATGACAAATCAACTTATGGAGACATTGCTCCAAACAATATAATTAAAATATAAGAAACAAATGGACCAACAAACTGACCACAAATGATTGCAAGACATCCACCGTGACCGCCGGGTTGCTTATTGTCTCCACATGTTGTACGAAAACCTTTTTGGCTTTCAGTTCTTCTACAGAAAAAATAAAAAATAAAATGCCTTAAATGGAGAGAGTTTCAAACACACAAATACGGAAAAAAATTCATAAACATTCTCTTCTGTTAAATTTACTCCAATAATCCATTAATAGAAGCTTAATTTACAGAAGTAGTACCACATTACCTTCATAATTCTCATTTCGCCACCCATAAGCTCTCGCCAATTCTCAGAAAAACTTACTCTCAAGGGAAGATATATAACTCCTAATTTGGTTTCTTTCATAAGGCATTTTTTAAGCATAAAGTTCAACATAGACATTGTATTAGCAGTCCCAATTATATGCATTAATGCATACTCAATATACTACTCCGAATTTGAATATCATAGTCAACTACAAACACACACACATATCATACTCACGCGCAAACATATGTAGAGATTGAGCAATGGCGACATACCTTTCTCACGTGAATCAGAAATAGATAGCTTCCCAAAGTCCAGCAACGGCCGCTTCAATGGTCTTTCGTTGATTTCTAGCCCTACGAAGCACAAAGGGTCAAATAAATAGAAACCAATTTATATATCATCATGAAATAACGAGTCACGATTAAAAGAAAGGCCAAGAACCCAGAGAAACCCTAGAACTCACAGAAAGCTTCAAGCGGCGAGTGGGTAGCTTTCCGTTTAACCCTAACAATCACTGGCTTGTCGTCCTTGGGAGGCATTGAAGAGCTTTCGGCTAAATCAGCCATTGATGATCAGCACCCTTAAAAAACAAATTAGGGTTATAATCTGAGTGTTGCCGATTTAGAATGCACTCCCATAGTCACATAGTGAAATGAAGAAAAAACATAGTGAAATGAAGAGGAGGGTGAAGAGTGAAGGGGTTTTCGGAATTGCCTTTCTCTGCAAGCGGGTGGGTTTTGATCTTAAATTCGGACGAGGAGGCACTCAAATGCGCCATATAACCCAGAGGGGATGCTTAGGTGTGCAACTCTGAGTCGGTTGACTGGTCAATTGAAATCATCTTTTCAATATATTCTATTATTATTATCATTATTATTATTATTATTATTATTATTAAGAAAATTTTACTAGTACTTAAGAAAATAGAAAATAAAAAATAAAAATCCAATTCAAATCAGACCGCCTTCAACCCAAGACGTTCAATTTCAAACTCACGCCCTACTGTGTATTTAAGGGGCTGAACTCGAGCTATAGAAATCAAGTTGATACGTTTCAAACCCAAGCCCAGTTTGTATTTAATGGGCTGAATTCGAGCTATAAAAACCAAGTTAGTTTTGATTTTTTAATTTTTTTTATTATTATTATTTTTTTGAGTAAGGTAAATACACATTAGAAAGGGTATAATAAATTAATTGGTGACATGAGGTTGTAATTTAAAAACAAAATAATAATTTAAGAATCGATTTTGTCCATTATCAAATATAATTTATGTAAGTATAGTGACTTTAGTCTTAAATCACTATTCTTAGAGAGAAGGGTCATGTCGGATCAGTGCTCGAAGCAAACGAGGCTACTCATAAGCCCGTACAAGATTTTTGAAAAAATTCAGCATTAGGCTTGGTAATTTAGCTCGGTATGCGAAAAAATTAGATAAAAAATATCATAAAAAATTGCACCAAATAGAATTTAGTTTGCAAAACAAGAAATACAGATCTCGATTAGTTGATTTAGAAAAAAAATTAGAACAAAACCCATACATACAAGTTAGCAAGCTTGAGAATTGAGAGACAGCGGCTGAAGCTTGCGAACGGCGAACCCGAACTGGAATAGCTGGCAATGGAAACTGAAAGATATGGGTTTTGATTTTTGGAACAATCTGAAATGATATGCCGATATGGGTTTTGATATAGGTAATAGGTTTTCAACTTTTGATTCTTGCAGACAGATAGATAAACTCAAATATATAGGTTTTCAACTTCTGACTCTTGTAGATTTTGTTTTTTGCAGTTGGAGAGGGAGAAAATAAGTTCAGAGTTAGAGGACCAGAATAGAGATGGAGGGACGATTGGAGAGGCTGAAATTATTTGCCCTAAAATTTTTTTTTTTTTTTTTTTTTTCCTGGTGGCCCATCATCTATGGGCCTATAAATTTTGAGGCCCTGGGCGACAGCCTTTGTCGCCTTGGGTCAGGGCCAGCCCTGTGCTTATTTGACTTGGGCCTTTATTTTAATATGGTGGCTGAGTTGAGTTGGGTTTGATTGAATGGGCTGATACTATTAATAATTTTTTTTTTTTTTAGGACTGAACTAAAATTAGTTTAATAAAATATATTTTATTTTTTGAGTGGGCTCAAAACCACCAGACATCCCTGCAGTCTAAAATTTTCTCCATTTTTCCTTTACTGTTGAATTCTCAATAAGATGGGATCTGCCTTTTTTTTGGCAAGACTATATTTTTAATTTTTAAATCTCTCTTACCTTACCCAAAAAAGTAATTAAATAATCAAAATGCTGCTTTCTAAAAAATAAATTACCGAAATAATTCCCATCAACTGCAATGTCCCACAATTAAACAAAGTCTACATATGAAAAGAAGAAAAACACAAATACACGCACATTCAACTATCTATTTAGACGTTACACAATGATCAAACAAGCTAACTAAATTGTTTAAACTTACATAATTTTAACTAGTAATAGTAAAAGTTGTAACTTCAAAAGTTTAAAGGGTGCAATTTGAGCCTCTAGTAAAGTTGGAGGACTCAATGGAGTCATTTAATAATTGAGAGATGCATGTTGTAAGAACTCGATAGTTAAAAATGTTTAGTGCACTTTTGTCCAATTTCATATTCCAATTAACTCCCTCCCCCTTTCTTTGTTGGAGGTCATAATTGTTTTTGCATAAAACACTTTCAGAAAAAAATATATATATATAATAAAAATATTACATGGTAGATTACCCTCGCAAATCTCCAGCAAATGCCCACTACAAAATTGAACCCTTCACCTTCTTTTTGGTAGGTTACTCTCGCAAATATCCTGCAACCCACTACCAAAATTCATCAAGCAAAAAGCTCGATTCTATACCTCAAAGTTTGTTTCTCCTCAATTGTGTACCATACATGAGAAGAGCGCAATGATAAAATATTCAAGGGGAAGAAAGCATCACAAAGATCTCTACTCACCCGCATCTGCTCCACCATCACTTCCATTCTAAAATTGGGGTGTTTGCAGGAATGCCATGCTTCAAATAGGATTCTTTGTGATTGGGTCCTCCCACGAGACCTCAAGACTGAATCATGCTGGCCATGGCGCCGGATCGCTGCTCTCATCATCGGATTGGTGTCACCATTACCAACTATTCTACCGTTAATTGCGGTTATTATTGTATTGGTTATTTAACTATCTGGTTAATATGTGCTCTCCCTCTTTGGGCTTGAATTGTTGTCTCTTGGGCTTGTTTTGGCCTAAGGCCCTCCTTGTATCTTTTTATTTATATTATACAGTCCAAAAAAAAAAAACATTTTACCTTTTTTTTTTGGCAAGAGAAGGTTATACCACATTGGCCAAAGAGCAAGTAATTAAATAAAAAAAATTATTTCCTACCAAGTTCTTGCCCCTTTCTAAGTGTTTAATTTTTTTATTTTTTTTTATTTTTTAAAGTTCAAGCAAGCGGGAAGAATTTGAATTGCCGAAAACGTTGTGGGAGTCAAAAGTACAATATTAAACCTTCATTTATGAGGGTTGTGGATTAAAAGGGCTATTTTGTCCATAAAAAATAATTTTTTTATTAAAAAATAAATAAAAGTACAATGACTATAATAATAATTTATCAAGTAAAAAACAACACTGAATGAGGTTACCGTTTATATTTAAAATTATAGGAGAGATTTCTATTATTTAAGTAATCTATAGGAGAGGTAAGTATAATTATCTCAAAAACAATATACAGATATATATCTAGAGAGAGATAATGACAATAGTAGCCCATTCTTTAATACAAAAATTATTATAGCCTACTTAAATTTAAAAGTAATTAAAAAAAATTGTAAATCCATAATATTAAATACATTCATAGAGATAATGAGAAGTTTGTGTTTAAGATTTTTTTTTTTTTGTCATTTTTGTATATTTTTGATAAAATATTTAATATTAGTATATAAATATTTTTTAAATTAAATCAAACAATGTCATATATATATATATATATATATATATATAAATGTATGGAAATTCACGGACACAATAGTAGTACATATATAAATATACGTGTCAGCATTAATTTAGGAATTGAGGCACATAGGGCGAGTGGGAAGTGCCTCACTCATTTTTTATTTATTTACATTTGAAGCTTCGAATTTTACTTAAATACGTATTAGTAGTGCCAGCACCGAATTTTTAGTAAAAACTCTCCTCTATACTTGCCCCAGATCTCTCTCTCAACCATCAATTTTTATTTTTATTTTACTTTGATATATACATTTCTCAAAAATTATAAATTTGCCCTATCAAACATTAGAATTTAGAATTTAGTTTAATTACCCAAAAATAAACTAAATCAACTAATCGATAATTTAGTTTAATTACCCAAAAATAAAAACATTAGAATTTAGTGACTAAAGAATAGTTTTGGTACTTCGTTTCACTTGTTTTGATTTTTTATTAATTGTCTTAAAATGACATAATTAGTCTTCAAAAGCACACTCATTCTTTAATTTTATAATAATAATAAAAATATTCATTTAATTCATTTTCAATTCATAAAGAGAAGTAATTATGACATTTCATTTTTAAGTGGATTGCAAATATAGGAGATCTAGATTTAGAAATAATTGTTACGGAGTATTTAGTGATAATTTAATCTCTGAAATAAAATTATTGATTTTATTTTTTAATTATTAGTAGCCATGACCGTGATATATATATCTATATCTATATACCCTATAAAAGTGTATTCAATTTTGATTTTTATATACATTTTAAAATAATTTCTTTAATTTACAAAAATATTATGATTGACGTTTCCTTTTTACACATTGTTTTCTTTCTTTCTTTCTTCTTAAAAAATCAACTTTAATTATATATCATCCATGAAAAAAATTAGTAACTTCCTGCAATGTAATTTCTAAAAGTCATTAACAGTTAATATGCATTTCTACTTTTATATTTAAAATAAATGCTTATTGTAAAGGGTTGTCTGCCGCTTATGTATACCTACGAGTCATATGATCTTAAAAAAAAAAAAAAAAAAAATCCTCTTTCATGTTTTCTTCTTTGCAAAACCTTTTTTTATTTTCAGGCCAACATCGTAAGTACACTATACTTCTTGAATATATATATAGGTTACAATTCTTCTCTCCTCTTAAAGTTTTTTATGTCTCTGTGTAATTTTTATATTTATTTATATTTACTTTTATATCACATTAATATTGAAATAGTTTAGAGTTTCTTTTACATATAACTTTTATTCAATATAAATTATTACATGAAAGAGTTTCTTTGTAAAACTATCTCTACCTTTCTACGTATATACATTTTTCAAATCATTGTTTCGTTGTGTTCAATAAAGATGAAGGAGATTAAGACTTTTACGGAGAACATGACATAGCGATTGTTAGTTAAAGTTATTATATATAGGAGTCATTTGATTTTTGGTGTATTATTTTCTGCGATGATATTCATATTTTAATTAAGAATTAAAGTTATAATCAAACATTAACACCTATTTAAATTATTGAAAAGTTGTCTATTTAACTACTAACACCTTTTTGAAAGAAAAAATAATAATAATAAAAATAAAAAGAAAATAAAAAAGACTCCTTACACAACTTACTTCCATTTTTGTTAAAAAACATACCATAAAGTTTGTTAAGTGTCTAATTATTGTTGTATTGATATTCAATTTATTGTAAGAATTTTTAAAGGCCTCTCTTCAAAAATTTTTGTGTTGAATCTTTTGAGATATTATTATTATATATTATCACTTTTCTATTCTTTTTCAAGAGTTGTGTAGAAATAAAACT